AGCCACAGCTACAGTACACTGATGCTAAGCTACATGTAGCCACAGCTACAGTACACTGATGCTAAGCTACATGTAGCCACAGCTACAGTACACTGATGGTGCTAAGCTACATGTAGCCACAGCTACAGTACACTGATGGTGCTAAGCTACATGTAGCCACAGCTGCAGTACACTGATGGTGCTAAGCTACATGTAGCCACAGCTGCAGTACACTGATGGTGCTAAGCCACACTGTAGCCACAGCTGCAGTACACTGATGGTGCGTGAGTTGCTAGCAGCATGAGTTGCTAGCAGCCTGTGTTGCTAGCAGCCTGTATTGCTAGCAGCCTGTGTTGCTGGCAGCCTGTGTTGCTGGCAGCCTGTGTTGCTAGCAGCCTGTGTTGCTAGCAGCCTGTATTGCTGGCAGCCTGTGTTGCTGGCAGCCTGTGTTGCTAGCAGCATGTGTTGCTGGCAGCCTGTGTTGCCGGCAGCCTGTGTTGCTGGCAGCCTGTGTTGCTAGCAGCCTGTGTTGCTAGCAGCCTGTGTTGCTAGCAGCCTGTGTTGCTGGCAGCCTGTGTTGCTAGCAGCCTGTGTTGCTAGCAGCCTGTGTTGCTAGCAGCCTGTGTTGCTAGTTGCTCGCAGCCTGTGTTGCTGGCAGCCTGTGTTGCTAGCAGCCTGTGTTGCTAGCAGCCTGTGTTGCTAGTTGCTAGCAGCCTGTGTTGCTGGCAGCCTGTGTTGCTAGTTGCTAGCAGCCTGTGTTGCTAGCAGCCTGTGTTGCTAGCAGCCTGTGTTGCTAGCAGCCAGTGTTGCTAGCAGCCTGTGTTGCTGGCAGCCTGTGTTGCTAGTTGCTAGCAGCCTGTGTTGCTAGTTGCTAGCAGCCTGTGTTGCTAGTTGCTAGCAGCCTGTGTTGCTAGCAGCCTGTGTTGCTAGCAGCCTATGCTGGTATCGTTAATGTCACCGTTAATTCGGAAGCTTATCTATCAGGTCAAAATTCATCAGGTGGAAGCAGTCCTGAAAATATTCTGGTTTTCGGTAGCATCCCTCCTCACCACAGACTAATGATCCAACATGTTTTACAACATTACCTGAGCAGAAACGTATGTGTACATGTACAAACACAGTGACAGTAAAACCTGACAGAAGTCCTGAATAGTTCCGTTAACATCCTGTCTGTTTAGAGAAGTTAGCTTGTTTTAACTGGTTACGGTTAGCTGCTAGCAGACACTGACCTTTGTTTCACAGTAACCTGAACACAACAGCAGCTCAGCACGACTCAACTACAGCTCTTCCTAATGATTTCTGCTGCTACTAATGAACCAAAGACACACTAACCAGCTCCTTTAGCATGCACCACCCTCTCTGGGATTCGTTCACGGTCGAAGTGGGCCATCTCATCTGTGAAGACCACATCCTGGACCAGCAGGGGTCCTCTGGGCCCTGCAGTCAGGATATTGAGCTTGTCTCCCACAGGATTGCCCCCTCCTGTGGTCAGCACATCAGGTTTCTGAAACAACAAACATTACTACATGAACAAACACAACACTGCAACACTCAATCAACACAAGTAAATCATCAACCCTCTGCAGAGAAGTTGTTTACAACATTATCTTTTTCAAACTGTTGTTTTAAACTTAGAGTGGATTTTATGTAGATACGCACAATATATCAGCATTCATATCAGTACCAGTCCCATATGTAGAACTGGGCCAATATTAACGTCTGATATTTATTTACCACTTTTTATCTTTGTGTTTGTGTTTTGTGAGGTGAGATGGTTGGTTGAGCAGCAACTGTTTGATCATGATAGTGATGCTGCAGCAGGAATAACTGAAGTAGAGTCATGACAGAGGTCTGCTTCTTTATTTACTGTAACAAAACAAGACTCAAGTCTGTTTGTGTGTATTTATGTAAAATATAATGTGTGTGTGTGTGTGTATAATTTGTGTGTCTGTGTGTATATGTATAATTTGTGTGTATTTGTGTATATGTATAATTTGTGTGTATATGTACAGTGGTTTGCAAAAGTATTCATACCCCTTGAA